TAAACAAGTAAAATTAAAATAATAAAAATACAATTAGAACTATATATTTAAAAGCAATAAAATAAATAAAAATACTTAAAATTATTGACTAAATTATATTAAATTAAAATTAAAAACCTAATTCAATATTAATCAAAATTACAGGGATTAAACATGCTATTTTCTTATTTTATTAATTTAGTTACTAAAATAAAACTTATCTAAAATTAGAATATCAGATTAAAATAAATTAAAAAAATAAACTTGGGATTAAAATATTAATTATTAAAATTAAGGGATTAAATCTGTTATTTACCCTAAATATATTATTTTAATACAAAGGACTAAAATAAATAAAATTAAAATTAAAGAACTGAATTAAAAGGATTATAAATTCGATTTAGTGACTAAAATGTAAAGTTTATAAATTCAAGGGATGGCGGACAGAATTTAACAATTTAAAATTTACACAAATAGCCCTCCCCGAAACGACGTCGTTCGGGAAGGGCTATTTAAAGCCAAATCCGGCTGGCCGGAAGGGCCAGCTTCATTTCTCTTTTTTTCCTCTCTCTCTCTTCTCTGAGAGAGAGAATTTTCTCTCGCTTCTCTCTAAAACAGAGAGAAGCTAGCCGGCCGGCAGCCGTCCACCGGCATTCTTCCGCCGCCGGCCACCGCCTTCGGTGGCTGGAAAATATTTTTTTTTGTCTTAAAATATAGATCGGACCGTCCTAATGACGGTTCCGATGATCTTTTCTTTTAAATGGCTCCCAATCGGAGCAAATCTAAGAGATATACCTTCGGTTTTCGAAGGTTGTTGGTGATGTTTGGAGGCCGGTGGTGACTCCGATCAAGGCAGTGACTTTCGCGGTGAGTCTCTCTACTTCCTTTCCTTGCTGTGTTTGTGAGGTTTTCTTTTTTTTTGTTCTCTGTTTTTTTTTCTTCTCTATTTTTGCTGGTCTCTCTCGGTCTCTCTCTGTCTTTCTCTTTTTCTTTCTTGGCAGGGGCTCGATGGCTTTTATAGCCACCACTGGTGATAGCTTCGGACCGGTCCCAAAAGGGGTTCTTCGGTGAGTCACCGGACTTCCAGTGGTGACTCACCATTTGGGGAGACGTGTGCGGCTGGTGTTGAAGCAGCAAAGCTTCTGGATTCTTCAGCTAGGCGGCGGCGTCGCGGTGTGGCACTGGCAGCTGGGACGTGTCCCTAGGGTTATGATACCCTAGGGTTTCCTTGTTGGGTATATCTGGACCGTTGAATCTTGCCAGATCCAACGGTAGCAAGCTGAGACGGTTGGGAAGAGGGAAACCCTAATCTGTTAGGGTTTGTTATGGGCCATTTGTAATTGGGCCGGTCCAATCTGGGCCTGTTTGTAATTATTATTATTATTATATTTTTTTTAATAATAATATATATATATATAATAATAATAATAATTATGATAATAATTATAATAATAATAAAATGGGTAAAAAATTTAGTATCTTCAGCAGGGACACGCTAAAACCAGGACAAAAATTTAAGAGAGCACCCTACCCATGTCAACCATCACCTACGGACTACCCGAAGAACACAAAACACTGTAACCGGGTAGAATTCAAAACAGCAGCACAGGCCTAATCAATCAACAGTCTGCTGGGAACAGTGAAACACCTTGTAATCAAAGACCTCGAAAACCAGCCACATAGAAGAATATCCAAACCACTCCTCTCCAAAGGAAAATCTCAACAGTCACCGAAGAGCCGACGCCCCGATTCACTCAAACACAGCCACAACCCACAGCAAAGACTAATTTCTCTCTTCACAGCACCGCTACAAATTAATACAATAATTCAGACCAACCCAATCGGAAGCAACTCCAATACTGAGAATGAACGAACCAGCAGCTATCAGACTCAACAAGACACACCACACTCCGGATCAAGTGACCTCTAAACTTAACTGCAGCAAAAGAACCACCCAATCTTCACATATTTCGCCTAATCGATATCACAAGATTAGGAGACCTATAGAAATCCAACATTGAAAAACTAGACTCGGGATAGGGCCACTTTAACCAAGTCCCAATCATGGTCACAGCCGCTTCATATATTTGGTTCTCACTACAGCTTCTATTTTTGAAGATTACCTCATTTCTGTATAAGTATGTGAACCAAATGAAGCCATGCTCCAATGTTTTTTGCATGAATAAGAAACCGGGAAACCATACCAGAATTATACAAAAGCTTTGAAATCCCCTGGACAAACGCAGTGAAAATTCCAGCAGGCGAACCATCTTTGCCACAGCCGCCACGCTACTTCAGAGTGACAAAACAAGTGATCTTTGGTCTCAGACTCCTTAGCACAAAGTACACGTAGACATAAATCCAAAAATACAACATCCCTCTTCGCTAATTCACCTAGCACCGGAATTCTATTCAAACTTGCCCGCCATACAAAAGGACTCTACTTTTGGGGTATCTATTGTAATCTACCCTTGCTAATATTGTAATAGATTATAGATAAAAATATACCGACAGTTATGAACTATGTCAAAAATGATCATTTTAATTATTAAATTCTTAAAAATAATAGAACTATCATTAAAATATTTAAATGGTTAAAAATAATTATTAAATTTATAAATTCATTATAACATAATTATTAAATTTTATTAAAATATTAATAATTATTAAATTTATTGAATTTTTATGATTAAATATAATATCTCAATGTTGATCCAATAAGAATTCAATAAGTTTAAAAATTCCCCAATAACTCAACAAGTGCACCACTGTTTTTCATTTGCATTGCAGGCACACGTTATATATATATATAGATCACACACAGAGATAGATCAAAGGGGGCAGGTGAGGGTGAGTGCTCATTTGAAAATTTTAAATTAGTATGTATTTAGATTATTTTTAATATTTTTTAATTAAAAATTCATTTCTATCCCTTAAAATTTTATAAGTTCATTCCTTTTAAAATTTTAAAAAATTTATCTCTTAATATAAAATATTGTGTCCGTCTCTGATCAAGTAAACTTTAAAGTCGGAAACGATCAATCAGTATCAAAAACAGATTGTATTTCGAATGAGAAAATGTAGACTTGGATAGGAAACAGATGAAAATCACTTAATAGACTCACTTGTTGCACGTGTATGCATAATAGAGACATCGTCTGCCTTGGGAGAATTGAATTGAATTTTGAAACCAAGAATTTATAAGCATCAAAATCCAAATTCCCTGGCACACACCACACTTTTCAATTTAATAAAACTGTACATGCTTGTTGCTCCACAAATACGGGTGTAAATTAATAGAGTGTTCGATAAATTGTTTGTGAATTGTTTATATAATATTTATATATGTTCGTTTATTAAGTTAAATAAACGAGTATAAACAAAAATTTTATATTCATTTAATAAACAAACACAAACATAAGTGTATTCAGTTCGTTTATGTTCACGAAATAAGCTTGTTTATAGACCTATTTATAAGCTTGTTTACTCATTTCTCATTTTTTTTATTGATGAAGGTATGTATTAAATTGAATATAAGGTGAACTTTAGAGTTCAAAATGTGAAGCCTAAGGGACTCAAAGACTATTGGCATAATTTCACCACTTTCTTTGGATTGCAAATGAATATGGTTACAAACGATAAACGAACGAACACTAACACCATCAAAAATAAATGAATACAAATACAATATAAAAAATTAAACGAACACAAACATAATATAAACACCTTTAAAAATAAAAGAACATAAACACATTTTTATTTGTTTAAATGTTATTTATTCATAGTTGGGTCCACAAAGGTGGGTGGGTGTACGAGAGTGGTCCAACACACACTTATTACATTTGAGCGAAATCACAGCGGCCAGCTCTCAGTCCCCTACACGCCATCATTCATTGGTTGCCGCATGCAGATAAGTTTTGATGTTATTGTGATACGATACAAATTTGTATATTAGATTTGATCTGATTTAAAAATTTGGAATATTCAAAAAATTTAAATACTTTAAATAGTGATTCGTATTTGATTCGGAAAAATTGAATATCCGAATTTATTCTACCAAACATACTTCAGTGTGAATGTTGTAATTGATTTTTCAAAACAAAATCATTAACTGAAGTTCTAATCTAACCATCAACCTAGAATTAAGTGTTAGCTCAAGTTTAACATAAATCATATGTTATGATTCCATCATTCTTAAGTACGTCTTTCGAAATTTGATCCCACGTTACATCATATCACAACAACATATGAGTACTCTTCATAGAACAATTAATAAAACAAATAGATTACACATATTTATTATATAAATAAATTAGATATGATATTTATTAAAAGGTAACCTTTTTAAAATTAATTAAGTTTTTTAATACACTATATATAAAATAATCATATGACGAATGGATACATAATTTTTGATTGTATGTTTTATTTTTTTATTTTTTTGTTACAAAGAAGCTGTTAGACAGTGGTTTATTCATTATCGTCGACAATTATATCCCTATTAAGGAAGCATTGAAGACTGACGAGCGGATGAGATAGGACTATCATGCCCGAACAACTTGTACGCCTCAAGCGAGCCAGAGAATCAGCTACACTGTTCACGTCTCGCAACCTCGTTGTTGTTGATTCCCACTTTGTTAAAAGAATAATGCCTCACATATTTTATTTCCCTACTACTTTAATTTATAATACATTGTTCATGTAACTATACAAGAATTGGAAACTAACTGCTTCTAACTACTTCTAATAGCCCACCAAGTAACTCCTAACAAACTAACTAACATTTATTATCTCAACACTACCCCTCAAGTTGGTGGGTGAAAGATATCTGAAACCCCCAACTTGGCTGTCAAATACTCGTGCTGCAAAGTGCCAAGCGCTTTAGTCAAGACATCTACAGGTTGCTCCTTTGAAGGTATGTGTTCAGCTGTGATAAATCCTTCTTGAATTTTGTCTCTAACAAAATGGCAATCAATTTCGATATGCTTCATTCTTTCATGAAAGACATGATTAGAAGCAATCTATAATGTTGTTTTACTGTCACAGAATAGCTTAGCAGGATGATCTCGTTTCACTCCAAGTTCATTCAGCAATCCACTTAGCCAAATCAACTTTGCTGTAGTCATGGCCATACTTCTGTACTCAGCTTCTGCTGAAGAACGAGCCACTGTGTTCTGTTTTTTTGACTTCCATGATATCAAAGAATTCCCAAGTTTTATGTAGTATCTTGTTACTGACTTCCTTGATATTGGGCAAGTTGACCAATCAGAGTCGCAAAAGGCAATTAAACCACATGTACTTGAAGAATCTAGCCAAATTCCCTGCCATGGATTCTTTTTAATATATCGTACAACTCTCAATGTTGCTTCCATATGCACCTTTCCAGGCTGATGCATAAATTGGCTTAGGTGTTGTATTGAATAAGCTATATTAGGCATGATGTGGGTTAAATATATGAGCCTTCATATGAGTATTTGTAATTGCGTTCTGTCTACCATGCCTTCTTCATTCTGCTTCAAACACTTAGTATCTAAAGCATCAAAGAAATTATTATTCTGCTCCAAAGGTGTTGGAGAAGGCCTTGCTCCCCTTGCCCCAATATCTTTTATTAATTATAAACCATATTTGCGCTGACTTAAGACAATTCCTTTCTCTGATCTCAAAACTTCGAGCCCAAGAAAATACCTTAACTCACCCAAATATTTCCTCTTGAACTTAGAATTCAGTGTACACTTGAGCTGTTCTATCATATCAGTATCACTGCCAGTAATCAACAAATCATCTACATACACAAGCACAATGACCAACTTGTTTGCTACTTGCCTTGTAAACATCGAGTAATCATGCTTACTTTGCTAAAATCCTGTTGATATAAGTGATTCAGACAGCTTCTTGTTCCATTGTCTGGAAGCTTTCTTGAGTCCATACAGAGACTTTTGCAGCCGACAAACCATATGCTCCCCTAGCTGGAAAAGACTTCAGGTAACTTCATGTAAACTTATTCAACTAAATCTCCTTGCAAGAACGCATTGTGAACTTCCATTTGCCACAATGGCCAGTCAAAGATAAAAGCAAGATCCAAAATCAATCTCACAGTAGTGAATTTAGCAACAGGAGAAAAAGTCTCCACATAGTCAACACCCTCCTTCTGATTATACCCTTTGGTCACCAATCGAGCCTTGAACCTTTCAACCTCACCTGAAGCATGATACTTGATTCGATAAACCCACTTGCAACCAATGGGAACTTTACCAGAGGGAAAAGGTACCACAGTCCAAGTATTATTCAATTATAATGCTTGAATCTCTTCTCTCATGGCATGTTGCCAATGTGGATTTTGACAAGCTTCTTGATAAGTAGTGGGTTCATTAAGATGAGAAATTGAAGCTAAAAAAGGTTAAGTATATGAAGGTAAATGAGAATAAGAAATATATTCAGAAACAAGATAAGTAGTAGAAGGTGAAGTGGATTGGCAGTGCAGACATAATCCTTTAACCAATTCGGAGGATTGGATATTGTTGAAAACATTTTGTTGTTTCGATATAACAAATTAAATTAAAAGAATTTTAATTTTGAAAATGATTTTTCTAAGCATATTCGATATATTAAATCGAATATCAAAATATTACTCAAAGTATTTCAAAGTTCATTTTAAATCCTTACTCAAGTGTAAAATTAAGTTTTAATCTTAAAATAATTTCAAAACGATTTTACAAAATATTTCGAACCATTTCAAAGCCAAAAATTCCAGATTGCTCAGAGGGAACCGATTCCCCCGTGAATGGTTTGGCTCCAAGAATTCCAGTATGCTCGGAGGGAACCGATTCCCCCCACTGTTCAACGGTCGAAATATTTGAATTTTACACTTAGGGAACCGATTCCCCTAATAGGGTACCATTTCCCCCCACGCTTCAAGCAGAAATATTAATTGTTTTCACACTTAAACGGCTCCAAAAACTTCATTAATGATCCCCAACGTTCAGAAGTGATTCAAGGTGTATTTAAGCAAGCTTAGAAGCCATTGATCAAAAACAAGAAACATCAAGCAACAAGAAATCATAGAGAAACAAGAGAAAAAGCATCAAACACCAAGTTTGTGCAAATCAAGCCAATTTTCCTTTCAATATTCATTTTGCTTTCAAGAACACCATTTGTGCTCATTTGTAATTATTTTTGAGTGTTCTTTTCTTGTTCTAGAATTGTGCAAACATCTTACCTTGTGAGGTTTTCCTTGTAAGTTTGCAAATTTGTGTATTTCTCTTTGAAAAAGAGTGTGCTCAAGAATTTGGGGTATAATTCTTGAGGGAGTTGTAAGGTTACTCTTTGTCCTCAAAAGAAAGAACAAATTAGTGAATTTGTTGGAAAATCCTTAGTGTGGATAGCTAAGGTAGTGGACGTAGACTTTGGTTGAGAAATTTGAACCACTCTAAATCGTTGTGCAATTACTTTCAAGTTTCTGCAAAAGCTTCCACTAACATTTTAATTGCCAATTCACCCCCTCTTGGCCGATTTCGTCAATCGATTAACTCAACAATTGGTATCAGAGCCTCACTCATTTGAAGGTTTAATCACCTCTTGAGTCGATCCGGGAAGAGTTAAATCGATAAAGATGGCATCTACTTCCGGTTCATTCTCCATGGAAGAATCCAAACCTATTGACGTGCCTCCACACTTCAATGGAATAAATTATCGTCATTGGAAGAGGTGTATGATGATATTCATCAAATAATTTGATATGGAAGCTTAGATGATAATCAAGAAAGGATATTCCTCTCCTACTAAGAAGGCAAAGAAGTGGAGTGTTCAAGAACGGAAGGAAACTCAACAAAACTCAAAGGCTATACACATGTTGTGTTGTGCAATTGATCCTAATGTATATAAAGGAGTTTCTTCTTGTTCAAGTGCCAAGGAAATGTGGGATAAGCTTAAGGAGATCTATAGAGACAAGGAAGAAGAAGAACCAATAAAAGTGATGTGTCTATTAGCTCTCACAGAGCCAAAGGTATCTTCTAACTAAAATATATCAAATTCAAAATCTTTTAATGAGTTACAAGATGCTTATGATAAATTATTTTCGGAGTTTGAGACCATGAACTCCAAATACAATAAATTGATTTCTAAATTTATTGCTAAAAATGATATTCTTTTAAAAGCTAAAACAGACTTGGAAAATCAAAATGAAATGTTGAGAAATAAGTTAGAGCTTTCAAAAATAAAATCTGAAAACTTTGAAAAAGAAATTTTCAAATTAAATAAACTTCTTCTAGAAATGAAAATGGATTTTGAAAATCAAAAATGAAATCTTGAAGAAGGATTTAGAACTCTCAAAAATGAAATTTGAAAGTATCGAAAAAGAAAATTTCAATTTGAAAGATAAGCTTGAATGTTTAACAAGAGAAAAAGAGATCATTCTAAATAATTCATCTAGTTCAATAATGACAATATGTTCACATTGTCATTATCATGGTCATAAGGAACATACTTGTCCTTTAAAGAAAGGAAAACGATTTAAAATTAGACAAATATGGGTTCCAAAAGGAACAAGAGGCATTGAAACTAATGTTTAAGGATCCAAAGCAATTTGGATACCAAAATCTACTTAAATGTCTCTTGTAAGTGTGTGAGAGCAATGGTGATAAAGATGATGATATTCAAGATGCTCTAGCCACACATAAAAAGGGAATGGGTAACCTCTAAACTTAATATTTTTATTATTTGGTTGCTCATTTAGTTTATGCATGCATGAGGTTTTAAAATGTTGAATTATGTTTTATCTCATGTATGTTAAAAAAAATATTGTATGATGAACATGTTAATTTTTGGTAATGTTTTATAAACTCTAGTTCATCATATTATTTTTTGGTCAAAATTGTTTTTAAAATGTAATTGATATCTCTTTAACAATTGATATCGATTTTTCAAGAACTTTGGTTTTGCAAAATTTTGATCTAAAATTTTTCTTAATGTTTATGCATAGATTTTTGTTTAAATATTATAAAGTTTTAATGCATAACATTTTCAAAAACTTTATGCATGTGCTCTTAATCTCTATAATCAACATTGCATAATGTTTTATATGTGAATGGGTTAAAAGCATAATCTTTTGAAAAATAAATTTGATAAAAGATACAATGTTTTATTTTAAATGATTGCAAAATTGATTGACATTGCATCTATTTTTGATTATGCTTGTTGGTCATAAAATAAGGATATATACATGATGCATTTAGATTTTATTGATATGAATATTTTGTGCCTAGTTGCTAGGGATGAGCATGATAATTTGTTATGTTATAGGAGACTAGGACATGCTAGTATGAGTGTTTTGCAACGGCTAATTCAAAGTGATTTAGTTCGAGGGTTGCCTAAGCTTAAATTTGATAATGATAAAATCTGTGATGCTTGTGCTAAAGAAAAACAAAAAGAGTTTCTTTTAAATCCATTAATGACGTATCAACTGGTAGAGTATTACAATTGATCCATATAGATCTTTTTGGGCCAACTAGGACTACTAGCTTGGGTGGAAAACAATATGCATTTGTCTTGGTAGAGGACTATTCTAGATATACTTGGGTTCTATTCTTAAGTACTAAAGATGAAGCATTAGAAAAATTCATCACGTTTTCAAAAGTAATCCAAAACGATAAAGGTTACTCTATAACTAGTGTTAGGAGTGATCATGACACTGAATTTGAAAATCTTGGATTTACTGAGTTTTGTAATTCTAATGGTATTAGTCACAATTTTTCAGCACCTAGAACTCCTCAACAAAATGCAGTTGTTGAGAGGAAAAATCGAACTTTAGAAGAAATGGCTAGAACCTTGCTTTGTGAAAATAATTTGCCAAAATATTTTTGGGCCGAAGCCACAAATATCGCTTGTTATGTTATAAATCAAGTAATGATTAGGCCTATTTTAAAGAAAACTCCATATGAAATTTTCAAAAATAAAAAGCCTAACATTAGCTATTTTCATCCTTTTGGATGTAAATGTTTTGTTTTAAACAACGGTAAAGAAAACCTTGGCAAATTTGATTCTAAAAGTGATGAAGGAATTTTTTCTGGGTTATTCCTTAAATTCTAAAGCTTATCGACTATTTAATAAAAGAACTTTAGTTGTAGAAGAGTCTATACACGTTGTTTTCGATGATAATCCCCTTCCGAGGAAGGATTCTTGTGTGAATGATGATGTAGGTATTATAAATACAAATGAAGTTAGACATGACGTTGAAGAACCATCATCAAAGGAAGAAACAAAAGATGAGGTAACTCATGATCCTCTTGAGAATTCAACCATTGAAGAAAGGGAAGTATCTTATCCAAGAGAGTACAACTATGTCAAGGATGGTGAGATTATAGGTGATCCATCCAAAGGGGTAACAATTCGATCTTCTCTCAGAAATATTTGTAATTATGTTGCATTTATTTCATGCATAGAGCCTAAGAATATTAAAGAAGCATTAAAAGATGAACATTGGATTATGGCTATGCAAGAAGAATTAAATCAATTTGAGAGAAGTAAAGTATGAACATTAGTTGAAAGGCCTAGTAATAAATCTACTGTAGGTACTAGATGGGTATTTAGGAATAAGCTTGATGAGAGTGGTAATATAGTGAGAAACAAGGCTAGACTTTTTGTTCAAGGGTATACTCAAGAAGAGGGCATAGACTATGATGAAACATGCGCTCCCTTAGCTAGGATGGAAGCAATTAGAATGTTATTAGCATTTGCATGTTTTCATGAATTTAAATTATATCAAATGGATGTTAAAAGTGCAATTTTAAATGGTTTTATAAAGGAAGAAGTGTATGTGGAACAACCTCCAGGTTTTGAA